ATTCACATTTAATTTACGTTTTTTCTAAGTCTGTTCAGGTTGGAGAGGAAGAAGGAAGTGTAGGGGGCGGGGGAGGTGCAGCTCAACGAGGAACTAATTGATATTATAACATAATTCAAATAGTAGGCGCGCTCTGATTGGCCATAAAACCATTTTACATAAGCGTACGTAAACACGGTTTTCGTTCCTCTTTCATTAGTTATTTTATAAAAGAAATTTAAAATGGTTTCCGTGTTTACATAGCCTGATGTAAACACGCGGGAGGTTGGGAGAACACGAGATAAGCGTAGGAAACCACGACGCGAAGCGGAGTGGTTTCCAGCTTATCGACATCAGGCTATGTAAACACGGAAACCATTTTACATTTCTTCATTCAAAAACTCAACTACCAAAATTACATAAATTCTCGAACTTTAACTACATAGTATGAGAAAAAAGATTCTTCCCCTTCCTTGTTAATGTTTTCTTACTGTTTCACATTGATTTACCAAGACATGTTTTTCGCGCACAAATAACTCATAAAAAAAAGCATTGAACAAGATGAAAGGGGCAGTAAGAGAAGTAGATTAAAATTTTTCATTCAGTTTAGACACTTAAGTTTGCGATTTCTTTCGCACTTTGTCAGATAATCAAAGCTCCCCGGTTGGGATCTCTATTCCCTGTAAATTACTCTTCATCCCACGCTTGTTACCAAACTAGTAACGTCTCTGGCATGGATCCTCTCCAGCTTTGGCTATTCGATAATCATATCTAAATAATCAATTTATTCCAATTGTATTTTTCAGCTCAACACCTTGATACTCGTACGAGTCATAAAGGAGATGACCAATTTGTTGCAGCCAACTGGGGAAGACAACCATTTTCAGCAAATACGGTAAGATTCACAACATAAAACTAAAACAAAATAGTGGAAGAGGCAGCCATGTCCTCCTGTGAGGCTCTATTCGCCTACCTTCCTCATTCCTTGATCAGTAAGGCATTACGATATCTAAAAATGAAAATTCATTGTCAAAGGAAAATAAATGAATGTTTTCTTTTAACTCCTAGAATGGGCATCAAAGCATGCGTAGGGATGATTCCCCTGCTGGGTGTCACGTGGCTATTCGGTCTCCTCTCGCCTGTACATAAAGCTTTCGCTTACATCTTCACCATACTCAACTCTTCTCAGGTCAGTGTTCGATGGTAACTGCCAAAATCATTCAATTTCTATCATTATTTTACTTTCTAACCAAGTGAAACACCATTACGATGGTCACATGATATTTTTTGGAAGTTTAAAAACAACAATTCTGTTAACTATGCAAGAGAAGACAGACCTCTTTTTTAATTATAAGATATGCAATTTTCTTTCCCTCTTGGAAATCTTAATAGGTATTTTGTCTAATTTGTTTGCATATTATAAAAATTAATGATCATGAAATCATGTTTATGCTGCAGGGTTTCCTGATTTTCTCCGTACACTGCATGCGAAACACTCAGGTAAGAAAAAAAATAAAACTAATTGTTAACTCCATATCATCAAGTTTTAGTGTTTCGATAGATATCCGAGCACTAGTGCTAAGAACCGTGTTTCGCGTCGCTCGTCTATCTGCAGATCAGAGAGCGTTTCAAAAGAAAGATGAACATCGTTTTTCGATCTTCTAGAAAGAGCAACTATACAAGGAAGAGCTCACAGGTCAATCCAAGTGAGGTTGGGGATGTATGGGGCAGTTAAATTGCAGTCTTGTGCTCAGTTTTAATCGAAATCGCACCTAACTTAAATAACTGGATCCAGCCAACCGGAAATGACAGTCAATTACTTAGTACAATCACTTAGTTAACAGCAATAAGTCGGTTACGATCGATCTGACTTGCGGTCTTTCTTTTCGTTATTGTTTAAGCGCTCAACTGGCCGTAATTGTACTCTATTTTCTTTACTGGATCTTTTTCTGGATCAGTTACATGTAGCCATTATTTTTCGCATTCCTAAAATGAGGAGTATCGTTTTAAATCGAAAACACATCGATTAATTTGGAATTGAATTGGCGCAATGTTAGCCTTAAATGGCATAAACCAAGAGATTATAAACTATTCGGCACACATTATTAAACAACGATTAAAGAACTTTTACACAGAGTATACAATTTAAAGGAAAAAGCTTAGCGATAGAAACGCAGAATATTTCGATGGGCCTGGTTTTCAAATATCATTACAGTGAAACTTAGCATTGCAGAGGAATTTCAATGAGGGAGAGAAGGAGTCCATTATGTAGATGTGCTTAACAGTTTATAATAATCTAATTTGCGTCATACCCATTTATAAATAAACATGGTGACGAAGCGTGCGATTAAGACGGAAGAAGTTAAAATAAGAATTATTCTGAAGTAAACAAGCACTTTCCTCTCTACACTGCTCAAATACGATAGGTCAAAACGCTTCAAGCTTCGATCGACCTAATATATCGCAGCTAAGACGAGCGAATATTTCAGAATAAATAATAAATTATTCCATGAGCGTGGAGAGATACTGGGAGAGTAGAATGTCTCGCCCACAGAGCACATCACTATGACCCAAGAACGTCTCGCACTAAGAGCTTCTGACTCACCGCTCGTTCTAAATTGTTGGAATTCAAACATTTGGACACAAAAATGATGGTCTGCATCACGCTTTTCTAGGGGGAGAGTTGTTTTGTAGGCTGAACACTTAACTTTGGCCGTTAACCACAATTGTTTTAAAGGCATACGAAGTAATTAGCATGTCATAGGCGAGATGAATAAATAACAATAATTTCTATTTATACATAACGAACAGATGGCATACTAGCTTAAGCTGCCCGTTGATAAAACAGAATTTTGTTTAAGCCAACTTTTATTTAACAGAGTCCATAAAGAAATTACCGTTTTTACCATCAAATATTTTTTAGCTGCTTCTTCTACATCACTTGAACTACAAAAAGTATTTTAATGCAGTGAAGTTTTCCGATTGTATTAGAAAAACAATGCTCCACATCAGGTGCAAGTGGCTTTTTGTCCATTGGTCCGTCTATGACAGAAAAAAATGCCATGAACATGTGTTCAGAGATCATGATTTGCATTGAAGTCTAACTCGTACGAAAGGCTTTTTGTGAGGATGCCGCAAATCCGCAACTCTCACGCGGTGTGAATCAAATATAAGTGAATCCTGAAAAATGTTCAAAACATCGGTGATATGTTGTATGCTGGGTGAGTACGACCCTAATTATTCCTGTTTGTTCTGCGGTAGCTATGAAACCGTCAAAATTGACTTTTATTTGTAAAATATTTATTTCGATATTTACCTTACGGAACTTTAATAACTAAACATACCAAACTCTTAACATGTCCTCTCTAGTTGTTGTCTAATTATTAAAGCTAATTATCATCATTATCGTTATTATTAGTTTCTCGATATTTTTCTCTTTCCTTACAATGAAAAATAATTGAATAATAATCATCCGTAATGACACATTCATATAAGTTGTACTCTAGGTTAGTACCACCTTAATTATATCTTGACTTTCCATTTGTGACACATTTATATCCATTTTGGAACGTCCTGTGAAATTCAGCCAAACCAAACAGAAAAAAAAATAGTCAGGTGGCGGATATTTGGCACTGTTAATTAAAACAAAACAAAACAGACTTTAAAGATTTCCGCATTGAACTTTCAGTTCTTAATCAGAAATGGATCTCTTATAAATTGTATTCCTGAAGCCTTTTAGATTCCATATAGTGGAAAGTAGGTTTCCTTGGAGCGTTCGGATGAGGCGTTAATCAGATATCGCGGTACCCAAATCTTTAGAGCTTTCAAATTATTGTTCTGTTGGTAACACTCAGAGTAGATGGCTGCTTACTGCTCGCCAAGTTGAACGTCATGGTTAATTAAAACATATTTCTCTTCTAAATTATTCCTCTTTATGCCCGAAAGCAAACTTTATACTCAACCCATTGCTCTTCTTTTAAAAAAAATATATGGGCTCTGGAGGTTCCGCAGGTTCAGCGGTCTGCTGATCCATAGTTTTGTAACTCTTAAGAATATGGAAAAATTGTCACAAAATTTTGGAGACCAACCCCTCAAGATTCAAATTGTGCAGAAGTTTTATTTGAGCGCTCAGATTTGATACCCGATTCATTCGCTTAAAATGGGAGCTCAAACGAAACATTTTTTCCTCTGGATAGCACATTTTACATCCTTTTCATTCATTTATAGTTCGGTTGCGCTCCGAATAACCCATTCAATAAAATTTTCCGAAGGACATTCCTAAGGGTCTATCGTATCCTTAAAAATGTTTCCACATGTGACAAGTTTTGTTGAGATAGTTGGTGAATTGCGGAGGTGCTGCATTTTTTTTATAATTTCTCCGTCAGCTCCCTAGGAAGGTAATAAAATTCATGAATAGATGTTAAAGGGCATGTAGCAAATAAAATGAATTAGTACTCGTTTTACTCGAAATCTAATAAACTTTTTCATTGTTTCAAAATTAATGTTACTCTTGAGATAACAAGCAATTTATTTGTCCATTTTCTCTTCTACAGACATCCTTCGTTTGTTGATGAAATTGCCAGGGACAGGTGAGGCAGCTTCATTCCAATTTAATATTTATGTTCCTTAAAATGGACGGGAAAAAAAGATAATACCTGACTAAGTATCATATTAATTAGTTATAGACTTCCTTTTAAAACTATATTGGATTGCGATTCAAAACGTGAGTTGAAAAGCAAAACAAAAAGTCAAAGAATAACGGTGTTATTACCCTGATCTCCCCAAGATCCACTTTTAAAACCTAGCCTAATTCTAATATTTGCTTCAGCGATGTAAAGAGTTTTGATGCCCATTATTTGTTGTTTATTTATTCATTTACTTTCTTCTCATAGAGTGCCAACCAACCTGTTTCAAAAACTCCTCTTACATATTTTCGAAAGGCGAAATTTACAGGTTTCCTAACAATGAAGTCTGCTCCATCTTGGGAGGTTATTTAGTCTCCATCGAGACTGAGGAAGAATGGCAGTTTATCAATCATGAGATTCAAAAGCGTGGTACTTGGAATACTTCGACTACTAATGCGTGGCTCATTGGTTTGGAGAAGAAAGACGGGGTTTGGATATGGAAGAGTGGAGAACAGCTGAATATTTCGAAATGGCGAGATTCTGAACCAAATGTGAACGACGAAAGGGCGGAAATATCCATGAATGGGAGCCTCTTTAATGGTATCTCTCGGAATGATGAAGGAGATGCCTACATTTGCGAGATGCCCGGAGGTAAGATCACATTCCAACCATAAAGCATATAATGTGCTGAAATATTAGCAGTCTTGCACTTGTGTCATGAAAATTGCTCTTGCTTCTTAAAAGTAAAAAAACATTGTTCACAGAATATACTCAGCCCACCTAACTTGTACGTGTGAGCGATGAATGAACTTTTAGACGCGCATAAGTAGTTGAACACACTGCCCGTGAAATTTTCCGTGTATGCATGTTGTTTTGAACATAACACATCGAAGTACTTTTATTTTTGTGTGTCCGGGTGTGTGTTTCTTGTACAAGTCAGTGATCAATATATTATTCACCGGCTGGAAGGTCTGTATTAGGTAACACTGTGCCCAAGGTCTTGAGCACATGTAGTTCAGATAAATTGCACAGTTTTTCCCAATACGGACCAACCTAGGCTGGTGAATAACAGTTTTTTTTTCTTGAAATCGACGAAATGTTTTCCATAAGAGCCCTAATGCTCGTTTGTTTGCTGCAATCGCGAGTGCAACTCTGGTCTTTCATCAAAAATCTAATTTTAAATTTAGCTTTTTTCTCGTTGAATTCCTCTGTTTACTGTTTACGAAATTTACGGTACCAATGTCCGGATTGAACGGACTTCTAAAGACTTACCGAAAGCGTATTTGAAGTATAGAAGACCTTGCTCACTGTTCTCCAAGGAACAAATTGTTTGAGAGAATTCAGATACATAATGAATGAAATTACCATTGATGAATTCAATTGTAAAGAAATACCTCACGTTTTAACTTTCTGAGTTACTTCTAGAAAGGTTTAGATTAATTACAAGCGGCTTTTAGGCCGTGCGTTAACCCATCTAATGACATATTTGCTACCAATATTCATCTCAAAACCAATTTTTTTTGCAGGCAAACAAAGTGATCTGAGAGAGAGAAAGAGAGAATGAATAAGTTACCAATCGGCTTGATTTGCTCTAAAACGATTTGCTTAAAAATACTGTCCAGCCGGCAAAACGAAATACATTTATGAAAAATGGCAATAAAGCTAGAGATGCAATCGGCAGCTCGCTCAAGCGATACCCTGCCCGTGGGCAGAGATAGGAAAAACCCGGACCGCATTAAGTACCAATAAGATTCCAGGATCCGTTACCGTATCCTCTGAGAAAAACAAATAATAAATGCAGTTCTTTCGAGAAAGGTTATCGGAAAAAAAAGCGTGTCGGAAGTGTAAGCGATAGCCTGAAAGGTATTGCTGGTAGCTCTTAGGTCATGGTTAGACTTGACCTCAGGAATTCAGGGAAATCTAGGAAATGTCACTTTAAGGAGGAGGCATCACGGGTTTGAACAACCTATTTTAATTGCAAGACTGACTTTAAATTCTAAACTGCATGAGCTAACCCTAATTAATTTATCTTTAATTTTTATGTCCCTATTGATTATCGTTCCCCAGATAATCTTTTGAGGTTGTCGCCTGCACTTTAAAGTTTTGCTCTTTGCCGGTAACAACTGTATACGGTTAAATGCGTATCTCCAGTTGCACATTTATGGGAACCTACATTCACATTTAATTTTACGTTTTTAAGTCTGATTAGATAGAGGAGGAAGAGTAGGGGCGGAGGAGGGGAAGGTGTCAGCTCAACGAGGAACTAATTAATATTCAAAAACTTGACCACCAAAATTACATGAATTCACAAATAATCTTAGCTGATGTGAAGTTAACTAATCCACAAAAGCAGATCAGGGTGGCGGACGCCGTAGTGAAGAAAGATGTATTGTATTGATTGACACTGAGCAAACAAAACCATATGATGTAAAAAAAAAAAGAAAAAGGAATTAATTGGGGAATGAGTCACGTTTTCTTTCTCATTCATTTTTTCTTTATTGTGATTTTGATTATAATCTTTTTATGTTATCATTGTTATTAAAATTATCACTTTGTTTATGGTCATTAGGATAATTGGTATTTTTGTTTTCATCTTCATCATCATGTAGAATGCCCAAATATAACTTTCAAAAACTCTTGGTACGTAATTTCGGTGGATGGAGAGTCCTGGTATTGGGGCAGACACACTTGCTCAAGTCTAGGAGGGGACCTAGTTTCCTTTGAAACCCAAGAAGAATGGAGTTTAATTAATGACGAAATTCAAAGGCGAAATACTACAAACTATGAAAATAAATGGAGGATTGGTTTAAAAAAAAGGGCCAGGAATTGGACCTGGGTGAGTGGAAGACCGCTGACTATTTCCAAATGGGGACAAGGGGAGCCAAGTGGTGAACAAGACGCGGCTTTCATGTACAAGAGGTTCCGTAATGGCGAACGGGGCGTGTTTCGAACTTATAATAATGAAAGTTGGAAAAAACAGCACGCTTATGTTTGTGAGATCCCCAAGGGTGAGTTGATATGTTGTTGTTGTTGTTTTTGTTTTTATTTTTTTATGTTATTTGAGTAAAACTCAAAGGCACTAGAAGCACTTAAGGGCGATATAAAACATTATTTGCTTACGTTCGTGGTATTCTCGAGAGAAATTATAAAAACCTCACACAGTCAAAATCAAGTTTACACTTACCTTTGCGTAAATTGAAATATTTTTGAAACAATCTCAATGAACGTTTTCACGATATACATGTCTAACTTTAACCTTGTGAACAGGGAAAGTTACAGATGGTTCTGTTACAATCACTTTTACGAATAACAACAGTTCTGAAACTGATGGTGAATACCAATTGCAAAGAATTATCAGTTCAATTGCTTTGTTAGATGATAGCGCGTGATGATGTTAAGAGCGTTATCTTTTTGTGAAGAGTTTATGACTCATATCGGTTAAGAACCATGCCAATTATCGTTTTCTAAAACAAATACAACAGACTTGCAGACTTATTTGTTCTTCGCATAAGGGAATCAATTTTAAGTTTACTGGATTCTATTTTAATATCTGATCGTTTGAACTGTAAAGTTGTAGGGGCTAATTTCAATGCAATGCAAAATGTGCAGTGAACATAATAAACTGACCATCGTGCATCTAATCCGAATATGGCGGACATTTCGATCGACTTAGCAACCACTACTCTGTAACGAGGTTAGTAAGGATTACCTCAGTTCTCATATATCCTCAGAGGGCGTAGATACACTTTCTTGTCTAAAAGATAGTCAATTAAAAATTGGTTCATACATCAGCGTGTGTTCATCGAGATTTATAAAATAATTCAAATAGTGCGCGCGCTCTGATTAGCCATAAAACCATTTTACATGAGCGTGTATAAACACGGTTTTCGTTCCTCTTTCATTAGATATTTTATAAAAGAAATGCAGAAGAAATGTAAAATGGTTTCCGTGTTTACATAGTCTCCCAACCTCCCGCGTGTTTACATCAGGTTATGTAAACATGGAAAGCATTTTACATTTCTTCAATGTAGCACGCGAGAAGTTTGGAGAGCACGAAAGATGCGTAAGAGTTACTCGAGGCGTAGCCGAGAGCAACTCTAGCTTCTTGATTGGAAAATGTTTTTCTCGAGGGATTTGTTTGCTGACGTCATGAGCGCGCACAATGGGAATATGAAGCCACTCGCGCAATTGAATTTGATTACACAAATTTACTGGCTATGTTATAATACTGAGTTGGAATATAATTGATGATCTGCGCACCGAAAAGATATACATAGGCATGCGTAGATGAGATGGGACACTTTGGATTCTTAACGCTTTCAGTCTTGAAACAGGAAAAGAGCAAAACTTTTCAAGTAACCAGAATTGTGTGGAGAATTCATTATCAGTAGCATCTAGTCCCATGTGATATTTTTTCAGTGGTGTTGGATAATGCGCTTCGAATAGGTGATAAAAGGCAGGTTGTTTCCAAAGAAACGACACGTGGAATATTATTCAAGTAAGAAAACGCGGAACAGGATATTGAAATATTGTGTAACAGCTTTTTCAGCTATTAGGGAAAAGTCTACAGAATATGTTTCATTCTCTAGTATTTTGGTGTGTAGTTTTCGAAAAACATCCTACAGCCCTATCTAAGCAATAATCACACAAGACGTCTGCCACAGACGAATAAAATGCTAAAGAAGCTTTCTGTATAACTAATAAAAAATCGAGTGCGTTTAAGAGTTTTGAACGTTATTAGCGGCCATTTTGTTACTCCCCTTTCCGTCCGCAGTTTTGCCCTCGCAGTGTAATAGTAAGGCAACTTTTTTGTATGATGCGGTCTTGATTAACATTTTTCTTTCAAGATTCCTCAATATCTTCAGTAACTTCGTCGACTTTACTATCACCCAGAATAGACCTTGCAACCTCACCATCACCATCAGCATCGCCATCGTCGTCCCTGTCGCCGTCGCCACGACCATCGCCCTCGTCATCGCCATTCCCGTCGCCATCGCCGTCGCCGTCGCCGTCGCCGTCTCAATCGCCATCGCCATCGCCATCACCAGTTGAACAGCTAGTATGTTCTCTAAATAGTCATTTACCGTTTTTATGCATGTCGTTTTTCAAGATCTCTTCTGTTTACAAACGTGAGAGATAATATTTTTAATTTTAGGCAAAGGAGTATGTATCAAAATTTGGCGGAATAAATATTACCAGAAGGACTTCCTTACAGGTATCTAATTCTATATGACTTAAAGGCTTTTTAACTTTGGTATATGTTTTTAAACGATAAAAAAGTAAATACCTGACCTTTAAGGATAAACCACCATTAAGCCATATGAAGTAAAAATGGTGAAGCTTAAAAAATAATCCAGGCCCCCAAAAGAGTTCTCTGGCCACTGAATACCCTGGACACCATTTGGATCCTTAGTATGAATTGTAAATACAGTATGAGACTGCCTGTTTAATGACCTGGAAATCTTTTACGTAATTGTAGGAGGCTGTTGCTGTGTTTGAAGATTTCACCTTAAAAATCAAGAACGTCACAAAAGACAAGGCCGGCATAGAAGAGGTTAAAACACTGAAAACATCCATCTTTGAGGTGGCAGAGGCCGTCGAGAAATTTGCTCTTAATTACGGCAACCGACACCTGAGAGAAATGAGGCTTTCAGAAAGGATCGTTTCCCCCAAAATGGGTGAGTTTGCGGCCTTCAATCCTGTTTAGTTTCAAAGTCTATTCCTCTGTTACTTACTAACTTGCTGACTGTCCCACTGAGTTGTCTAATTTCCTATGGCATGATGTAAGAACTCAGCTATTAACCCAACTTATCAGAAATGTTATTGTTGGATGTCATCGATTCATCTGTTTATTTTTTTTTTTTCAATTTGTTTGATACTTTGATTTGTCGCGGTGGAGAAGGAAATTGAACGTTCTCTTAAACAATCAACAAGAGAGAATAGGAATCCTTCAAATTGTGAAAACGTTCTTCTCGATCTGTTTATTGAAAGTTTTCTTAAATAATAGATTGGTGAGTAACACTTTACTAACTAAAATTGTCAAATCTTAGAAATACTTTCCGCTTACTTAATACCGTACACTGAGCTCAAAATTGGCCAATCGTCTGCGATGCACATAAATGCAAGGTTTTTAACCGTACTCGTAAAAATTTCCTAATGAACTCTATAGTTCTCTAACGAAACGGTTCGAGGAACGAATTGAGTTTTCACAATTTTAGTCCGTGCAGTACTACGCACTTTTTCATCAGTTTTACATTGAAAAAACGTTGTAAAATGGTTGAATTCGTCGAATAGTCGTTGAAGGGCAAATAGGATACAAACAATACACTTCCATCCAATAAGATTATGAAATATTTGTGAGCACCGCAAAACGCATGTTTGTGTAGGTGTGCTATTGCAAATTTCACCGTAGGTGCTTTTATTTGTCATTTTTTCTCTCCGACAGTTTTGGTCATTCAAAAAGCCTATCACTTGAATGCAAGTGGCTTCGACTTTGAGGAACAACAATGGCGAGCGAGAATCGATATCGCTTCTTCAAATTTTGAGGAAAATGGTTCGTATTAACTACTGTGGTAACTTTACAACTTTTAGTATTACCTTGGTTTCTCCGATAGAAATTTCTTTATTGAAATAAAGCTTCATGTAAAGGCACTTCCTTAGGTTACATAGTCTAACTTCTTTAATCATTCGCCTTCCCTAAAATGTCACATACCTTAGAGCCTGATAAACATTTCAATATTGTTCTTTTTTGTTGTTGTTTAAAAACATTTTCTGTTGATTCTTGGGGCGTTTAAAGGATCAATGGTAGCTGCGTTTGTGTACAAGGATCTGCATGACCTACTTCTGATAGATCAAGCCATAAGGAGTGAAACAGACAACCAAAGGTGACGTTATTTTCATATTACTCCATGTCGTTTACCTCTAAAAACACACAACAGGGAAACACATAAGATCTAAGTTCAACTTAACTGAACTGACACAATTTCCAAAACCCTAACTAGAGTTGGAAAACTCCCTGCTTGTCTCTGACCATTCCACCTTCATGAAAAATTGGCTAATTGAATCTACCAAAAATATGTAATATTGCTTCCGTGGTTCTGGTCCATTTTTAAATACAATTTCTTCATAGGTATATCAACTCCAGGATAATGGCCGTAACTATGGACCCCAAGCCAGAGAAATTGCGAGAAAATGTCATCCTAAACTTCAAAAACCTAAAGGTAACATGAAAATTAGCTGCTATGCGTTTTTTTTTGATTTATTCTGACGAGATAAAATCTATTTTCAGGTCTTGACAGCAGAGAAGCGCTGTATGTTTTGGAGTAGCCGCAGCAAAAGGTAAAAAAACTACAATATATTATTGCATAGTATTTATTCCTTCTTAAATTAAATTGAGTATGTAGGACAATGAATGAACTTTCTCAGATGTTTTTGCGCAGATTAACACTTTCCTGGAAGCCAACATGTTGTCGTTTTTAGAGAATGGAAGTCTGATTGAAATGTTCTCGCAAATATAACTACAGTGGAAGAAAATCTTAGCGCAAAATTCTCAAACATCACCTTTTACCCAAACGATGAATAATTTTTTAACTTTACTCTTTTTTCATGTGTGACAGCTTTTCAGAGGAAGGTTGTCATGTAGTTACATCAAAAAGTAACTCAGAAGAAACAGTTTGCAGATGCAATCATTTGACGCATTTTGCCGTCTTACTGGACTACGACGGTAGCACAAAAGGTAATAAAGTTATTTTTGCCTTACTTAATAGTTTTATGGGCTCAATTTACTAACTCAATGTTGTCCTTCAATTTTTTTTTTTTCTTGACACAGCTCACTGAGGAGGACGAAAGAATTCTGAAAATTATCACCTACCATGGACTGAGCCTTTCCATTATCGGGATACTTTTAACATTAATACTTTATTCTTGCCTCACGTAAGCAATGCACTCGATTAATAATGAGGTAGATTCTTAACTCCCTCAACAAGGCTGGTGATAAAAGAGATCTCAATGTCAGTCTCCATGCAAACAAGAACAGTCATGTCGGATAATTCACAAACTCAAGCTACATTTCATGCCCCATCACGAACTTTTGAACAAACTAATGGTTTCTTTTTATGAATTTTTAGGCTTTAGACATTTTCTTCGCAATATTTTTTTTTTTTCCTCTCTGGAGCTATTTACTGACTTTCTTCTTTCCTTCGCTGTCAAGATTTAGTTAATTTTTGCCATTTTTTTTCCTGTGTGTTGTTGCTTTTGTCTCATTCATTCTTCTTGTTTTTAATATTATTTTACCAGAGATGTTCGTAAACCTCTCTCTCAAATTCGACTGAGTGTTTCTATTTCCCTTGGAGCTGGACAGATCATCTTCCTCGCTGGAATAAACGCCACAGAAAACAAAGTCAGTAGCCTCTCCTTCTATCCATAGAATGAGTTTACTCTTTGCACCGTAAATATCTTGTCGAAAGAAGCACGTTAAGAATTATACGAAAACTCGTCCTTTCCACAGGCTGCCTGTGTTACAATAGCAGCTCTGATGCAGTATTTCTTTATGGCCGCTTTCTGTTGGATGCTGATCGAGGGAATTTATCTCTACTTCTTCGTCGTGAAAGTTTACAACATTAACACCAAAATGTACATGTATCACGTCATCTCGTGGGGTAAGTTTATTATTTTAAAACATGCACTGGTAACTGTAACCATGCTTTCGGATCGCCAAATCTGGTGTTTTCATGCAGTAAAATGTTTTGATTTCCTTTCTTTCTTTATGGGTAGGTCTTCCAGTGATCATGATGGCCATTTCACTTGGCATCAATGCTGGAAAAGAAGGGTTACAAAGCTATACGAGTGATAAATAGTGAGAGAAAAATTCAAGGGTTTCTTCTTGCTCTTCTCCTTTTAATTCGTTGCATTTAATTCTTTGTTTTGTTTTTGGATATAGTTTGAAATAGGTATCATTTTATTTTCTGACAATTTGTGTTTCTTTCTTGTGTTTCACTTCCTCGAGTTTAGTTGCTGGCTTTCCTCAACTAACAACCTGATCTGGATATTCGTCGCCTTTGTGGCTTTTATTGAAGTTGTGAGTTAATGATTAGTGTTAGTGATTGTGATCGGTATACCTGGACTAATTGCTGCTAAAGATTTTTTCCTCTGCTCTTTAAAACGAATTAAGTATTTATGATATGACCCAATACAATAAATATCATTTTCTTTTCCCTATTTACTCACAAAAAGCTTTGAACGTAGCCGCTGTTTGCGGGGATGCTGGTCAATTTTAACCTACTGATGGTCTTCAATAGCGAGAAAAACCTGTGGAGACAATGTCCTAACAGGCATAAGATAGCTTCATAAATTCTCCAACTTTTACTACACAGTATGAAAAAAAAACTTCTCCCCCTTCCTTCAACACAAAAATAACTCATGAAAAAAAAAAAAAATAACACACAAAAAAAAAATGAAAAATGTGAAAGGAGCAGGAAGAGTAGGATATATTATGTAATTTCTATAATTTAACATAAGGCTTTACTTGGCGTGGTTCTTTCAGTTTAGACACTTTTTTGCGCGATTTCTTTTGCTCATTGGCAGAGATCGAAGCTCCTAATCCTGGTCCCCCTGTTGGGAGCTCTATTCCCTGTAAATTACTCTTCATCCCACGCTTGTTACCGAATTAGTAACTTCCTTGGCAAAGATCCTCCCATGCCTTGGCTATTCGACATCCATATCTAAATAATCGCTTTTTTTTGGTATATTTTAGCTCAACATTTTGATACTCCTACGTGTAATAAGGGAGATGACCAATCTGTTGCAGCCAACAGGGGGAGACCACCATTTTCAGCAAATACGGTGAGAATCACAGCATAAAACTAAAAAAAATAGTGGAAGACATTGCCATGCCCTCCTGTGGGGCTACATTTGCCTAGCTTTCTCATTCCTTAATCAGTAAGGCATCAACATAAAAATTCATTGTCAAAGGAAAGTAAAAGAATGTTTTTTTCTAACTCCTAGTCTTGGCATCAAAACATGCGTGGTGATGATTCCCCAGCTGGGTGTCATGTGGCTATTCGGTCTCCTCTCGCCTGTACATAAAGCTTTCGCTTACATCTTCGCCATACTTAACTCTACTCAGGTCAGTATTCAATGGTAACTGTAAAAAGACATTAATCTCTATTATTTATTTTACTTTCTGACCAAGTGAGACACCATTAGAATGGTCAGATTACATTTCTTTGGAATTTTTAAAACAAAAAGGTGTCAACTATGCAAGAGAAGACAGACTTCTTTTTCAATTATAAGATGTGCAATTTTCCTTCCTTCTTGGAAATCTTAATAGATAGTTGACTAATTTGTTTGCAAATTGTAAAATTAATGATCTTGAAATCATTTTTATGCTGCAGGGTTTCCTGATTTTCGCTCTACACTGTATGCGAAACACTCAGGTAAGAAAAAACATTGAACTGATTATTAACTTTATATCATCAAGTTTTAGTGTTTCAATAAATATTCGAGTGCTAAGAACCATATTTCGTGTTGCTCGTCTATCTGCAGATCAGAGAGCGATTCAAAAGAAAGATGAACATCGTTTTTCCATCTTCTATAAAGGACAACTCCACAAGGAAGAGCCCACAGGTCAATCCAAATGAGGTTGGGAATGTATGGGCAATTTAATTGCAGTCATGTGCTGAATTTGAATCGAAATTGTACTTAAGTTAAATAACTTGATTCAGCCAATCGGAAATAACAACCAAATACTTAGAACAATCACTTAGTTAACAGCAATAAGTCGCTTACGATCGGTCTGAGTTACGATCTGCAGGTAAATAGAGGTCTGTGTCTGCATTATTGTTAAGCATTCAACTTGATGTCTTTGTAACCTATCATTTTTATGATAATAAGTTTATTTTCTAGGCGATCGTATATTTGCAGGCAAGAATCATCGAAATAAACCAATCTATAAATTTAAATTCCTAATGGCTCCGCATGCTGATGACTGCTTTGTTTCACTTACTTAGTTTATAAACTTCTTATCAAACACTGTTATTACTTTTAACTATAAGCTATGGATAGTCACTGAAATTATCAGTTTCTAGAAATTTCTAGAATACGTAGTCATGCTGACATGCATACAAAGGAACTTTCTGCAATATTTTATTAGGTTGCCTAGCTATGGTGTAACACCACCAAAATGGTTGTTGTAAGCTTCTGGAATTATCTGGAACACTTTGTACAAAGGACTCAATCGTGCAGCAGCAGTAGTTGTTGTTGTCGGTAGTGACTGATTTTTCAGAGAGTTCTAATGAAAGAGAGCTACTGAGGAAGATTGTTAATTTCGAGGAACTTGGGAGACAACTGTGAGATTGTGTCAGTGGTGAGCTAAGATGTAATTTGTAGTGGGCTTAAATAAGTTTATTTAGCATAAAAGTGTACTTCCTTTTAGAGTCGCTCCTTCGTAAGAATATTAAAGTTGTTTAATAGTGTTCTTTCTGTTGGTTAAATTGTACCGTAACAAAAAAATGCCCATAGTAGCAGCAGCTAAAGTTGACGTTCAAAGCCATATCATGGTTCAACCAGGAAAATGACACCGACATTACACTTTCAAATAAACAAATAACTTTTAACGACATCCCCCGTTTAACTCACCGAACCGATTTCCCAAGACACAGACTACACCTTTTCATTATTATTCTAATTATTCTAATTATTCTAATTATTCTAATTATTCTAATTATTCTAATTATTCTAATCAAATCTAATTAATCTAATTAATCTAATTATTCATTTACCCTTGAAAATGTTTCGACAAGAAACCAAACATGCAGGAATTTAAAGAAGCTCATCCCTAATTCACAGATTTTCCCGCCAAGCCTTTTTTTCCTGATTTAACCAGCCAATTTAAACAGACACACTAAATCAAAGCCCAAAATCTTATCTTTTCTTTCTACCAACACTGTCTCTAAATTTACTTTGTTGTGTTCGTAGAAGGTAATTAAGGTGCCGTTTCGTAAAGTACTTAAGTAATTATAGGTAGGCAAGTGAGCTTAATTAGCGAATTGCGAGTTTTGTATCGTAATGTATTGTAAGTCATGTTCTGTTTAGTAACGTTATGTAAGTAACATGACGCTGTAAGTGACTGTTATTAAGTGACTGTTAGTATAAGTAAGAAATAAGTAAAAGTGACCAATCCAATAAGTACAGTAATGTAATAAGTAGAGTGATGTTGAGTAATGTAAGTAGAGTAATGTAATGTAAGTTTAGTTTTGTACAAATGTTTCTTCAATAAATGTTTATTAAATTAAAAAAAAAATAAAAAAAATTAAGTTGACATTCAAAGTTGTTGGTTAATGAACAAATAGATGAATACGGAAATGGTTGAATAAATAAACAGCTTATTTAAAAGGACAGAAAAACCCGCATGATTGGATCGTTTTTGATCAGTTACATTTGCCAGTTTTATTCTTTTTTCTTTTTTTTCGCATCCCTAAGATAAGAAGTAGCATTTTGAATCGAAAATACATCCAATAATCTGGAATTCAATTGGGGCGATGCTAGCCGTAAATGGCATTAACCAAGAGATTATATTCTCTTGCGCAAACTTCATTAAACAGCGATTAAAGAACTTTTACACAGAGTAGACAATTTAACGGGAAAAAGTTCATCGATAGAAATGCGGAAAATTTCCGAGGGCCTGGCTTTCAAATATCACCACAACGGAGAGGCTAGCATTGAAGACGAATTTCAACCAGCGAAAGAAGGAGTTGAACATGTAGATGTGTCTAACTCGGTTTACAACAACCTAAACTACATTGCACCTCTTTATAAATCAGCATGGATGAAGAAGCGTGCGATTTAGGCGGAAGAAGTGATATCTCAAAACGTTTCAAGCTTCGATTGGCTAACTTTATTGCAGCTAAGGCTACTTCATATTTTGACCCCACTGCTCCTTCTAAAATGTTGGAATTCAAACATCTGGACACAAAAGTAATGGTCTGCATGACGCTTTTTGCATGGGAGAGTTGTTTTGTAGGCTGAACGCTAAACTATGGCCGTTGGCCTCCGTTTTTTTTTTTGATCAATTAACGATCAACTTTACGTAAACTCACATCGAGTTCACGGTCTAAGAAAATCGAGAAGGAATCCTTTGACTCGGAGTTTGCCGTGCTGTAAAAATATTAATACATGTTATTAACACATGAGTGAATTAATCCACCAAAGTTGAAGGCCAGCGAAATAATTACCACCACCCACCAACTGAAACGGCAGCAGCATAAACAATAATCATTTCCGTTTATGCATACGAACAGATGGCGTGCTAGCTTTAGCTGCCGTTTGATAAAACAGAAGTTGATTTAAGAAAACTTTCATTTAGCGGAGCTGATAAAGAAATAATCATTCTTAACATCAATTATTTTTGAGCTGCTTCTTTATAAAATTGGAATTATAAAGAGTATTTTAATTCCGTGAAGTTTTCCGATTATATTAAGAAAAACAATGCTTCACATCTGGTGCAAGCTGCCTTTTATCTATTGTTGCCTCTTTGACGGGAAAAAAAATGGAGACAAACGTCGGGAACAAGCTATCAGAGATCATAATTTGCATTAAACTCTGTCTCGTGCAAAAGGGTTTTATAAGATGCCGTATATCCGCAACTCTCAAGCTGGGAGAATCAAATATTAGTGTAACGATACCTTTTAACAGCAACCTTTGCATATCTTGGCCATGATGAAGTGGATGATGAATGGAACTGAATCCGGAAAAATTTTCAAAACTCTATTAACATGTTGTGTGGTGGGTAAGTACGACGCTAGTTATTCCTGTTTGTTGTGCGGTAGCTATAAAATTGCGCGATGAGTACAACTGAATCCCACAAAGAGAGCAAAACCTTTTTTAAAAGTTGTGCGCTAGTATAGTAGCCACCTAATTATATCTTGATTTTCCTTTTGCAAAACATTTATATCGATTTTTGAACGTCCTGTGAAGTTTGGCCGAAAGAAAATGTCAGTTGGCGGATATTGGCACTGTTGATTAAAACAAAACAAACCAGATTCTAAAGGTGTCCGCATTAAACTCTGAGTTCGTAATCGGAGAAGGATCTCTTACAAATTGGATTCCTGAAGCCTTTTAGATTTCATATAGTGCAAAGCAATTTAAGATCAAAGCACAGGCGAGACATTCATGCTGTGGTCATGTTGTTTGCGTCATAGTTGTCTGCACAACAGCTTTAGCAGCCATATTTAGGATAACAGGAACACGATAACTTAGTTGCTATCGTTTTATACCACTATGACACGATGTGAAAAGGAAAAAACGTGTCGACTTCGGATAGCTGCTGAACGTTGGACGTGCTTAGACAAGAGATCGAACTTAATCATCAGGGTCCACTTAAACTGGCGTTAGATGCAAAGTTTAACATTCGATCCGGTATTTGGAAAAAAATTTTTCAATTGGTGTACTTTTTCCTTTCTTATCGCAAATTAAAACACCATTAGTATCCATGAATTTCGATAGCTGCTTTTCTGAATGAGCTGAGGGGTTAAAGTGACGTGCACTCAGAGTCAAATAATTCAAACAACCCTTGAAATTGATTATTTTTACGAATTAAAATTCAGCAATTGAACTCCTTACAGCCACATGGAGATTCTTTTTTAATTTAAGTATAGTTCAAATAATAAATAAATTATTAGTCATGTTTAATGGATCACCCCGAAATGATACGATGGTGTTCCTCATTCCAGGGTCATGTTCAATGAATTCCAGCCTAAAGCTTTTCTGAGAGCTTTCGGATGAGGCACTATTCAGATGCCCAAACTGTTAGAGCTTTCAAATTGTTGTTCAGTCATTAACACTCGGAGTAGATGATTGCCGAATGCTCGCCAAGTTGGACGTCATGGACAATTAAAACATACTTCTCTTTTAAATTATTCTCCTTTGTACCCGAAAGCAAACTTTAAACTTATCTCATTGCTCTTCTTTTATAAAAAAATCTATGGTGGAGGTTCCGCGGTCTGCTGATCCATAGATTAGTAACTCCCAAGAATATGGAAAAATCCTCACTAAATTTTGGAGACCAACTCCTCAAGATTGAAATTGAGCAGAATTTTTATTTGAGCGGTCAGAATCGATACCTGATTAATTCGCTTAATAAAGCATCGTCCGTTTCGAATTGTTGCGAGCTAAAACGAGACATTTTTTTTTTTGAATAGCGCACCTTTTCATTGATATATGGTTTGGTTGCACTCCGAATTTCCCGTGTAAAAAAGGTTTTTCGAAGGACATTCGCGAAGGTCTACTGTACTCTTAAAAATGTTTTCTCCGTGTGAAAAGTTTTGTTCAGCTGGTTGGTAAATTGTGGAGATGCTGCATTTTTTAAAATTTATCCTTCTGCAACCTAGGGAAGGTAATAAAAGTCATGGGTAGATGCCAAAGGGTATGTAGCGAATAATCTCCATTAGCAATAGTCTAACTCGAGATCTTATAAACTCTTTCATTGTTTCAAATGTTATTCTTGAGATAATGATCAATTTTTTTGCTCGTTTTCTCTTATACAGTCATCTTTCATTTGTTGATGGATTTGCCAGGAACAGGTGAGGAAGTGTAATTCCGATTTTAACATCTATGCGCCTTAAAATGAACTGAAGATGAAAAAAGATAATATCTGATTGATTATCATAATAATTAGCCATAGACTTACAGACTTCCTGTTGGGATTACATCGGATTGTGACTCAAAACGTAAGTTGAAAAGCAAAACAAAAAATTCGTAGAATAACGGTGCTATTACCCTGATCTCCCTTATTTCCAGTTTTAAAATCTTTCGCTTCAGTGATGTAGAGGGTTTTGATGCCCATTGTTTGTTATTAAAATTAATAGTGTCATTAACATTATCACAATTGTTATCATCAGTATACATTTTTTCGTTTATTTATTCATTCCTTTATTTTTTCTCATAGAGTGCCAAGCAACCTGTTTCAAAAACTCCTCTTACGTATTTTCGAAAAGTGCAGCAAGATGGAATTTCAACTGGTATGTCTGCTGGTACCAGGGAGGTTACTTAGTCTCCATCGAAACTGAAGAAGAATGGAAGTTTATCAGTAATGAGATTAAAAAGCGTGGTACTGGGAATACTAGTGCATGGCATATTGGTTTAAGGAAGAGAGACGGGAATTGGACTTGGGAGAGTGGACAACATCTGAATATTTCGAAATGGCGTGATTCTGAGCCTGAGGGTAACGACAATTGCGCGGAAATATCCGTGAATGGAAGCCTCTTTAATGGTATCTCTTGGAATGATGAAAATGCCTGCATTTGCGAGATGCCCGTAGGTAAGATCACATTCCAACCATAAAGTATATTATGTGCTGAAATATTAGAGTCTTGCACTTGTGTCGTGAAAATTTCTCTTGATTCTTAAAAGTAAAAATATTGTTCACAGAATATGCTCAGCTCACCTAACTTGTACGTGTAAGCGATAAATGAACTTTCATGCGCCTAATAGTGTTTGAACATAATACCCATAAAAATTTCCGGGACACATGTTTCAAGAAGCAATTTGATCACTCTAGAACTGTCCTTTTTTGCATCGCCTGCAGCTGGAAAAAGAGCGACCGAAATTGTACATTTCTCAACTTTTGTCGAGCGTGCTACGGTTGAAATAATCTAGCCAACGGAATTTTTCCGTGACACAAATTAGAAGTGTTCACTGAGGTCGGTGAGTGTATGCATGCTGTTTTGAGCATAACATATCGAAGAATTTTTATTTTTTGTGTGTGCGTGCGTGGGTGTGTCTGTGTGTGTTTCTTTTACGAGTCAGTGATAAATGTTATTCACAGCCGAGAGGTCCGTATTGGGTAATACTGTGCCCAGGGTCTTGAGAACCGGCACTTAGGACAGAGTGCACAGCTTTTCCCAATACGGACCGACCTAGGCTGGTGAATAACAGTTTTTTTTTCTCTTAAACTCAACGAAATGTTTTTAAAAACAACCCTAATGATTTAGGGTTATAATTAAGGCAAGATCCTCCATGAACTGAACAAATTTTGAGCGAGTGAATGGTAGTTGAAACAGACTGAGGTAATGCAAATTGAAGAGAGGCTTGACCGAAATATTTTTAGTGTAGGGAACAAGATGATTTAAAAGGCTTCCATAGAATTTTTGAAACATTTTATTTTAACAAGTATCTGTGACAATCTGACACCTGTCAATTAGAGATTGCGTAAGACAAAAGCGCATCCACGCCTTAAAACGACATCAACAACAACAACAACAGCAACGGCGCTCAGCTCAGCGAGGAACTAATTTATTATTCAAAAACTCAACTACCAAAATTACATGAATTCATAGATAATCTTAGCTGATGTGAAGTTCACCAATTCAGAAAAGCAGGTCAGAGATTGCCGATGCCGGAGCGAAGAAAGATGTATTGTATTAATTTACACTAAAAAAACATAATGTTAGAAAAAAGGAATCAATGAAAGAATAAGTCACGTTTTTTATCTCATTCATTTTTCTCCTTTATTGTGATTGTGATCATAATATTATTATGTTATCATCATTATTATAATTATCATTTGTTTATCGTCATCGTGATAATTAGTATCTTTGTCTTCATCTTTATCATGTTGTAGAATGCCCAAATATAACTTTTAAAAACTCTCGGTACATAATTTCGGTGGATGGATGGTACTGGCACCTGAACAGAGATATCTGCCAGAGTCAAGGAGGGGACCTAGTTTCCATTGAAACCGAAGAAGAATGGAATTTCATCAATAACGAGATTCAAAGGCGGAATACTTCCAGCTGTAAAAATAAATGGAGTATTGGTTTAATGAAAGAGGACGGTAATTGGACCTGGGTGAGTGGGAGACCGCTGAATGCTTCCAAATTGATACGAGGGGAGCCAAGTAGTGAACACGACGTTGGTTTCATGTACAAGCGGTTCAGTAATGACGAACGGGGCGTGTTTGGTAGTGTTAATAGGGAAATTTGGACAAACCAGCATGCTTATATTTGTGAGATTTCCAATGGTGAGTTAACTTGTCGTTGTTTTTTTTTTCTTGAATGTTCTTTTGAGTAAACTAAAAGGCTCTAGAGGCGCTGAAGCGTAACAAAAAGATTCTTTCCTAACATTTGTGATACTCACGACAGAATTTATATATATACTCTGAAAGTCAGGATCAAGTTTACACTTACCTTTGCTTAAATGAAAATATGTTTTAAACAATCTCAACGAACGTTTTAACGATATAGATGTCTAACTTTTAACATTGTGAGCGGAGGAAAGTTACAGACGGTTCTGTTACTATCACTATTACGAGTAACAGCAGTTACGAAACTGATAGTGAATTCCAATTGCAAAGAATCATCAGTCCAATTGCTTTGCTAGTTAATAACGCGTGATAATGTGAAGTGCGATATCTTTTGTGTGCTAGTGACTCATGTCAGTTAAGATACATGCCGATAATCGTTTTATAAAACAAATACAGAAGACTTGCAGACTTATTTGTTCTTCGCAAAGGGGAATCACTTTTACGTTTATTGCATACTATTTTAATATCCAATCGTTTGAACTGTAAAGTTGTAGGGGCTAATTTCAATGCAGCGCAAAATGTGCGGTGAACATAATAAACTGACCATGCATCTAATTCGAATATTGCGAGCACTTCGATCAACCTAGCAACCACTATTCTGCACCGAGGTTAGTAAGGGTTGCCTCAGTTCTCAAAATTATGTTACCACGGGGCGTAGATACATTCTTTTGTTTTAAAAATAGTCAAAACTGAGTTGGAGTTTAATTGATATTCTGCTCACCGAAAAGATAAACATAGACATGCGAAGCATGCAAGAACTATAATATTGGTTAGGAGGGTTGAGATGGGACACTTGGTGTTCCTAACGCTTTCAGTTTTAAAACGGAAAAAAGCATAACTTTTAAAATAGCGAAAATATCGCATTACTTCACCTAAAAAGAAAGAAAACAAAACCTAAATTATCTGAACTTAAACTATTTGTGGTCTATTGTCTCTATTGTCTAAAAACCCTCTAAGGAAAAATAAAATGCATCGGTGCCACGCTTATCGTTGTTGTTTGGTCTCGTCACACAAATAACCGTCGAGAAAGAGACAACGTTTACTGCTGTTCCTAAGACAGCAAGAAGATCAACATTATTCGTCTACAATTAGTTACCTCAAAAAAAATCCTCGTTTTACCACCAAAAGCGAAACGAAACTCTGTAGTATTTCCAATAGACCCTAACCAAAGATAGATTGCGATCTGGAATAAGTGAAGATATATTGAATAAGAGATGAGGAAAGTATTTTAAAGACGGCTCCTTGGTTCGTTGATGCCTATCTGGACTTTGCCACCTGAATTAAAATGCAATGGGATTAAGCCCAAAGTAGCTAAAAGCGACTTTTATTCTCACGAAAAGTCATAACGCGGGAGAATTACGTACATAATTCACTATCAGTAGCATTCAGTTTCATGTGAATTTTTTGGTATTGGATAATGCGGTTCGAATAAGTGATAAAATTCAAGTTGTTTACGAGGAAATAACTCGTGATGGAGAAAAGTCTAATGAGGCATAATGGAATTTGATCGGTGGAATATAATTCAAACAACAGAATACAGAACAAGCTGTTAAAATATTGTCTTTCAGCTACTAGGGAAAACTCTTCAGAAGATATTTCATTCTCTACTCATTTGGCGTCTAGTTTCCAAAAAAATCCCCAAACTTTATCGGAACATCAATCACAGAAGACGTGTGCGAACGACTTAGATAATACAAAGGAAACAAGAAAAGTGCTCTGTTTAACCAACAAAACATCGAGTGCATTTGAGAGATTTCATCGTTCTGAGCAGCCATTTTGATGGTATGCTTTCTACCTGCATTTTTGCTCTCACAGTGTAAAATTAAGGCAATTTTGTCTCATGATATGGTCTTAAGCTTTATTTTTCTTAAAAGATTCATCAATATCTACATCACCCTTACCATCGTCGTCACCGTCGCCCTCACCATCACTGTCGCCATCGCTATTGCCGTTACGATCACCTACGCCATTGCAATCGCTGTCACCATCGCTCATGCCATCGCCCTCGCCAACGCCATCGCTATCACCATCACACTCGCCATCCCCCTCGCCATCGCCATCACTCTCGCCATCGCCCTCGCCATCGCCCTCGCCATCGCCCTCGCCATCGCCCTCGCCATCGCCCTCGCCATCGCCCTCGCCATCGCCCTCGCCATCGCCATCGCCATCGCCCTCGCCATCGCCCTCGCCATCGCCCTCGCCATCGCCATCGCCATCGCCATCGCCCTCGCCATCACCATTGCCATCGCCCTCGCCAACGCCATGGCCACCGCCATCGCCATTGCCCTCTGCCTCGTTCTCGTTCTCGTTCTGGCTCTCTCCATTGCAATTGTATTCGTTGTCGCCATCCACGTCGCTATCGCCATCACCATTGTCATCACCATCGCCCTCACCATCGCCATCGCTCTCGTTCTCGCCATCGCCCTCGCTCTCGCCATCGCCATCGCCATCACCACCGACATTGCCATCCACACTGCCCTCGCCCTCGCCCTCGCCCTCGCCCTCGCCCTCGCCCTCGCCCTCGCCCTCGCCCTCGCCCTCGCCCTCGCCCTCGCCCTCCCCCTCGCCCTCGCCCGCCTCGCCCTCGCCCTCGCCCGCCCTCGCCCTCGCCCTCGCCCTCGCCCTCGCCCTCGCCCGCCCTCGCCCTCGCCCTCGCCCTCTCCCTCACCATCGCCCCGCCCCTCGCCCTCCCCTCCCTCCCCTCGCCAGTCGCCATCGCCGTCGCCGTCGCCGTCGCCGTCGCCGTCGCCGTCGCCGTCGCCGTCGCCGTCGCCCTCGCCGTCGCCGTCGCCCTCGCCCGTCGCCGTCGCCCTCGCCGTCGCCGTCGCCCTCGCCCTCGCCGTCGCCCTCGCCCTCGCCCTCGCCGTCGCCGTCGCCATCGCCGTCGCTCTCGCCGTCGCCCTCGCCGTCGCCCTCGCCGTCGCCGTCGCCGTCGCCGTCGCCGTCGCCGTCGCCGTCGCCGTCGCCGTCGCCGTCGCCGTCGCCGTCGCCGTCGCCGTCGCCGTCGCCGTCGCCGTCGCCGTCGCCGTCGCCGTCGCCGTCGCCGTCGCCGTCGCCGTCGCCGTCGCCGTCGCCGTCGCCGTCGCCATCGCCGTCGCCATCGCCGTCGCCATCGCCGTCGCCATCGCCGTCGCCATCGCCGTCGCCATCGCCATCGCCATCGCCATCAGCCTTGTCCTCGCTCTCGTCATTGCCATTGCATTCACCGTCGCCATCCAAGTCGCCAACGCCATTGTCGTCTTCGCCGTGGCCGTTGTTAAGGGCACTTAAGACGCTGGTATGTGTTCCAAATATTTCTCTGCATGTTTCTTTTCAGGACCTGCACGGTTTATAAATTTGACGGACACTTTTTTTATTTATTTATTCCAGGCAAATGGGTATGTTTTAAAATTTGGCGAAATAATCATTACCAGAAGGAGTTCCATAGAGGTATACAATTTTCATAATAAAAATTCAGGTTCCTAAAAGAGTTTTCTAGCAATTGAAATCCTAAACATCAGTTGGGGCCTCAGGCTAGGCTCTATCTACATTCTTAGTACGAATTGTCTATACGAGACTGGCTAATTAAGATCTGGAAATATTTTATGTAATTGTAGGAGGCTGTAGCTGTGTTTGAAGATTTCATCATAAAAATCAAGAACGTCACAAAAGACAAGGCTGGCATGGAAGAGGTTAAAACGCTAAGAATATCCATCTTTAAAGTGGCAAAAGCCTTCGAGAAATTTGCCCTTAATTATAGCAAGCAACACCTGAGCGGAATGAGACCTTTCGAGAGGTTGGTTTTCCCAAAAATAGGTGAGGTTACGGCCTACAATTCTGTTTAGTTTTAAAGTGTATTCCTCTGTTACTTACTGACTTGCTGACCAACGGACTAAGTTGTGTTAGTTCCTAGACGATGTAAGAACTCACTGTAAACCTAACCTTTTAGAAATGTTTTTGTATGTCATCGATTCATTTGTTTTTTTAAATTTCTTTGACGCTTTAATTTTTTGCAGTGGAGAGGAAAATTAGAGGTATTCTTGAACAATCAAGAAGAGAAAAAAAAGAATCCTTCAAAATTTTAAAACCCTTCTTCTCGCTCTGTTTTTTGCAATTTCTCCTTAATAATAAAGTATATTTGTGAGCAGAAATTACTACTGGAATAATTAAATCTTGCAAATATTTCCCTTTACTTCATACTATGCACTGAGCTCAAGATTGGCATATCGTCTGCGATGTATATAAATCCCTGCTTTTTAAGCGCACTCGTAAAAACTCAAAAAAAAAAAACTAATGAACGCTAACTTTCTCTGCTGAAACGGGGAACGACATTTCAGAAATGATTTTTCACAATTTTAGTCCGTGTAGAACTACTCACATTTTTATTCTGTTTTCCTTTAAAAAAGCGTTTTTAAATCGGTTGTATTCGTTGGAGAGTCATGAAAGGGTAAATACAATAAAACAATACAATTCCATCCAATATGATTATAAAGTACACCGCAAAACGTATGTTGTCTATAAGCATTGTTTTTCCGACAGTTTTGGTAATTCAAAAAGCCTATCACTTGAACGCGAGTGACTTCAGCTTTGAGGTACAACAATGGCATACGAGAATCAATATTGCCTCTTCAAACTTTGAGGAAAATGGTTCGTATTACATAAGGTGTTACCTATACAGCTTTTAGTTCCCTTAATTTCTCTAGTGGAATTTTATATATCGAGATAAAACCTTAAGAATGAGCTTCATTAGTTTACATAGTCTATTTTCTTTCATCATCCGCCTTCCTTCTGATGTCACATCCTCAGAGCCTAAAGAAAATTTGAATATTGCGTGCTTTTTGCTGTTTGATTCCTTTCTTTGTTGTTTTGGGGGGGTTAAGGATCATTGGTAGTTGCGTTCGTGTACAAGGATCTGCATGACCTACTTCTGACAGATCAAGCTATCAGGAGTGAAACAGACAACAAAAGGTGATGCTTTTTTTCTATTATTGCACGTCGCTTTCCATGGAAATACGTAACATGGAAACACATAAGATCTACGTTCAACCAACCTGAACTTGGACACTTTCCAAAACCTTAACTGGGGTTGGAAGTTTCCCTGCCTGTCTCAGACCATTCTACCTTCATCAAAAATTCCCTTCAATCTGCCAAAGGTACACGATGTTACTTCTTTGGTTCTGATTTATTTTCATATAAAATTTCCTTCATAGTTATATCAACTCCAAGATAATGGCCATAACTATGGACCCCAAGCCAAACAAGTTGCGAGAAAATGTCATCCTAAAGTTCGAAAATCTGAAGGTAAAATTAAAATAAGTTGCTATGCATTGTTTCGATTTATTTTGACATGATAAAATTTATTTTCAGGTTTCGACAGCAGAGAAGCGCTGTATGTTTTGGAGTGGCTTCAACACAAGGTAAAAAAACTTCAATATATTATTGTATAGTATTTATTCATTGTTCAGGTTAACAATTTCCTGGAAGCTAAGATGTTGTCTTTTTTGGTAAAGTCTGACTAAAAATGACACTACAACTAAGACTAAAATTTGAAGAAAAACTTAGCGCAAAATTACCGAACATCACCTCTTCCCCAAACAGTGTTTAATTTTGTGCGCTTTGTTAACTTTACTTTTTTTAGATCAGAAGGCTTTTCAGAGGAAGGATGCCATGTAGTTTCATTAAAAAGCAACTCAGAAGAAACAGTTTGCAGCTGCAATCATTTGACGCATTTTGCCGTCTTAATGAACTACGACGGTAGCACAAAGGTAATCAAAAACCATAATAGTTTAACTAACATTTAACTAACTCAATGTTCTTATTTGAATTTTTTCTTTTTGACACAGCTCGCCGAAGAGGACGAAACAGTTCTGAAAATTATCACCCACGTCGGACTAAGCCTTTCCATCGTCGGGATCCTTTTAACATTAATACTTTATTTTTGCCTCACGTAAGTAATGTACCTGAATATCAGTAAGGTGATTCTTGACTTCCCTCAACTATGCTAGAGAGAAAAGAGATCTCAATGCAAATCTCCATGCCAATAAAAACACGCATGTCGGGTAACTCACAAATTCAAATTATATTCCATGCCCCATAAAGAGCGCCTGAACAACTCATGGTTTCATGGTTTATGAATTGCTTAGGGTTTAGTCATTTCCCTCGTGATACTTTCTTTTTTGTACTTTCTGGAGCTATTTACCGAGTTTTTTTCTTTCATTTGCTGTCAGAATTTTACTTGATTTCTTTGCCCATATTTTACTGTACATTTTAATTAATTCAATTCTCTTCTTTGTTGTGCTTAGTGTCTTTAGTGTGTTGTTGTTATTGTTGTTGTTGCTTTTCTCTAATTCATTCTTTTTATTTTTACTATTATTACTATTTTTTTTTACTATTTCATCAGAGATGTTGATCAACCTCTCTCCCAAATTCGAATGAGTGTTTCTATGTCCCTTGGAGCTGGACAGATCATCTTCCTCGCCGGAATAAACGCCACAGAAAACAAAGTTAGTGGCCCCTTTTTCTATCCATGGAATGAATTTCCCCGTTGCACCGTAAATATCTTGTCGAAAGGAGCGTGATAAGAATACGAAAACTCTTTCTTTCCACAGGCTGCCTGTGTTACAATAGCAGCTCTGATGCAGTATTTCTTGATGGCCGCTTTCTGTTGGATGCTGACAGAGGGAATATTTCTCTACCTTTTCGTTGTGAAAGTTTACAACATCAACAGCAAGATGTATATGTATCACGTCATCTCATGGGGTAAGTCCATTATTTCCCAACATACATTAGTGACTGTAACCATGCTTTCGGATCACCAAATATGATGTTGTAATCCAGCGAAGTTTTACGATTTCCTTCCTTTCTCTATGGGTAGGTCTTCCAGTGATCATGGTGGCCATGTCACTTGGCATCGCTGCTGGAAAAGAAGGGTTACAGAGCTATACGAGTGATAAATAGTAAGAAAAAAATTCAAGGGTTTCTTCTTGCTCTTCTCCTTTTAATTTGTTGCATTTAATTCTTTGTTTTGTTTTTGCACATATTTTGAAATTGGCATCATTTCATTCGCTAAAAATTTGTGTTTCTTTCCTGTGTTTCACTTCTTCGAGTTTAGTTGCTGGCTTTCCTCGACTAACAACCTGATCTGGATATTCGTCACCTTTGTAGCTTTCATTGAAATTGTGAGTTTATGATACGCGTTGGTGATTGTGATTGGTTTACCAGGACTACTTGCTGCTAAAGATTTTTTTCTCTGCTCTTTAAAAAACGATTTAAATATTTATGATATGACCCCACACAATGTTAACCATTTTTCTTTTCCTATTTACTCACAACAAACTTTGGACGTAGCTGCTGTTTGCGAGGATGCTTGTCGATTTTAACCTATTGATGGCCTTTAACAGCGAGAAAAACCTGTTGAGACAGTGTATTTACAAGAATAAGATAGCTTCATAAATTATCCAACTTTTACTACATAGTATGAAGAAAAAAAATTCCTTCTCCCCTGTTGATAGTTTCTCACTGTTTCACATTGATATATAAAGATTTTTTTCGCGCAAGAATAACTAAAAAAAATACATTGAAGAGGAAGAAAGGAACAGGAAGAGTAGAAGATAGTAAATTGATATAATTTAACGCTAGGATTCACTTGACATAGTTCATTCAGTTTAGACACTTTAGTTCGCGATTTCTTTAGCTCATTGTCAGATAATCGAAGCTCATAATCTAGGTCCCCCGGTTGAGAGTTCTATTTCCTGTCAATGACTCTTTTATCCCAAGCTTGTTACCAAACTAGTAACGTCTCTGTCAAGGATCCTCTCCTGCTTTGGGTACTTGATAACCATATCTAGATAATCAATTTATTTCTATTGTATTCTTCAGCTCAACATCTTGATACTCATACGAGTCATAAGGGAGATGACCAATTTGTTGCAGCCAACAGGGGAAGACAACCATCTTCAGCAAATAAGGTAGGATTTACAACATAAAACTAAAACAATATAGCCTCCTGTGAGGCTATATTCCTCAAACTTCCTCTTTCATTAATCAGTCAGGCCTTACTATATCTAACAATGAAATCCATTGTCAACGAAAGTTATGGAATATTTTTTCTTAATTCCTAGAATTGGCATCAAAGCAAGCGTGGTGATGATTCCCTTGCTGGGTGTCACGTGGCTATTCGGTCTCCTCTCGCCTGTACATAAAGCTTTCGCTTACATCTTCACCATACTTAACTCTGCTCAGGTCAGTGTTCGATGATATCTCTCAAAATCGTTCAATATCTATTATGTTACTTTCTAACCAAGTGAGACACCGTTACAATGGTCATATGATATTTTTTGGAATTTTGAAAACAAAAAGCTGTTAACTATGCAAGAGAAGACAGACTTCTTTTTCCATTATAAGATATGCAATTTTCCTTCCTTCTTGGAAATCTTAATAGATATCTGACTAATTTATTTGCATATTGTAAAAATTAATGATCTTGAAATCATATTTATGCTGCAGGGTTTCCTGATTTTCGCTCTACACTGTATGCGAAACACTCAGGTAAGAAAAAACATCAAACTGATTATTAACTTTTAGTATTTCGATAGATATCCGAGTACTAGTACTAAGAACCGTATTTAATATTGCTTGTCTATCTGCAGATCAAAGAGCGATTCAAAAGAAAAATGAATATCGTTTTTCCATCTTCTATAAAGAATAACTATTCAAGGAAGAGCTCACGGATCAATCCAAGTGAGGTTGGAGATATATGGGCAGTCGAATTGCAGTCTTTTGCTAAATTTGAATCGAAATCGCACTTAACTTAAATAAGTGGATATAGCCAACCGGAAAAGACAGTCAATTTCTTGGTACAAACACTTAGTTAACAGCGATTAGTCGGTTGCGATCGGTCTGAGTTACGATCTGCAGCTAAAAGAGGTCATTCTGTTCATCTTTGTTTAAGCACCCAACTAGTTGTAAACGTAACCTAACTTCTTCATGATAATAAGGTTATTCTCTCGGCAATCGGATAGATACGGGCAAGATTCGACGACATAAACCAATCTATCAATTTAAATTTCTAATGGCTCAGTATACTGACGACTGTCCTTCGAATAAGGTTACAGTCTGTTACAGACAAGGCGGGAATTTATGCCAGGAAATCATGGCTCGTTTTTCTTTATAAAAAAAGCTGTGTGTGTTTATTTTTTGATTCTTGCACGCTAACTCTCTGCGCTTGCTGCATGATTATTTCATATTCGGCGTTTTACTTATTGAGTTAACAAAATTTTCATCAAACATTATTATTACTATTAACAATAAGCTATGGATAATAACTGAAAATATAAGTTTCTATAAATTTCGAGAATGGCTATGTATTCCAAGGAACTTTCTAGAGCATTTTACTAGGTTTCGTAGTTATGATGTAACACTACCAATATAGTTATGTTGTAAGCTTCCAGAATTTTCTGGAATACTTTGTACATAAGGACTGAGTCGTGTAGCAGTAGTACTTATTGTTGTCGGGAGTGACTGATTTTTCAGAACGCTGTACCGAAAGAGAGCTACTGTGGAAGATTGTTAATTTAGGTGAACTTTGGAGACAACTGTGAGATTGTGCCAATACTGAGCTAAGATATAGTTTGTAGTGGGCTTCTTTAAGTTTATTTAAGGATAATTACTCTACTTCCTTTAAGAGTCGCTCATTGATAGGAATATTACAAGTTGTTTAATAAAGTAGTTAGGTTTGTTGATAAATAATGCTCTTTCTGTCGGTTAAATTGTGCTGTAACAAATAATACTAACAGTATCAGTGGCTGACATTCAAATTTGTTGCTTAATGAATAAGTAGATGAATACGTAAATGTTTCAATAAATAAACAAACAACTAATTTAGAAAGAACAGAAAAACCCCCTATGGCTGGATCTTTTGTGGATCAGTTGCATTTAACCATTTTTTTCACATTCCTAAAATAAGGAGTATCGTTGTGAATCAAAAATACAACGATTATTTTGGAATTAAATTGGGGCAACGTTAAGCGGAAATGGCATAAACCAAGAGATTATAAACTATGCGGCATACATTATAAAAGAACGATTAACGAACTTTTACGCAGCGTAGATTATTTAAAGAAAAAACTTCAGCGACAGAAATGTGAAATATTTCCATGGGCCTGGTTTTCAAATATCACTACAGCGGAGACGTAACATTGAAGAGGAATTTCGACAAGCAAGAGAAGGAGTCGATTATGTAGATGTGTGTGACAGTTTGCAACAGTCTAGGTTACGTCAAACCCATTTATAAACAAACATGAATGACAAAGCGTACGATTAAGACGGAAGAAGTAAAAATAAGAATTTTTCTGGAATATACAAGAAAATTTCTCTCGACACCGCTCAAATGCGATAGGTCAAAACGCTTTAAGCTTCGATTGACTAAATAGATCGCAGCTAACTCAGGAATATTCGAGAATAGAAAATCAATTATTCCATGAGCGTGGAGAGATACTGGGAAAGTAGAATGTCTCGCCCACAGAGCACATCACTGTGACCCAAGAACGTCTCGCACAAAGAGCTTTTGACCTCACCGCTCCTTCTAAAATGTTGTAATTCGAACATTTGGACACAAAAGTGATGGTTTGCATGATAATAATGCGTGTTAATTGACACATGAGCGAGTTAGTCCATCAAAGTTAAAGGCGTACGAATTAAATAGACCCACCAACTGAAACGTATGGCATGTCATAGGCGAGATGAATAAATAATAATCATTTCCATTATTTTATGCATACGAACAGATGGCGTAATAGCTTTAGCTATCAGTCGATAAAAAGAAGTTTATTCGAGACAACTTTCATTTAGCAGAGCTCAAACAGAAATAATCATTTTAAACATCAATTATTTTTGAGCTGCTTCTTTACAAAACTTCAACTAAAAAAAGTGTCCTAATGTCGTGAGGTTTTTGATTGTATTAAGAAAACAATGCTCCGGCGCACCTGGTGCAAGTTGCTTTTTGTCTATTGGTCCGTCTTTGACAGAGAAATAAAAATGGAGACTAACGCCATGAATATGCGATCACAGATCATGATTTGCATCAAATTCAAACTCGTACTAAAGCGTTTTATGAGGACGTCGCAAACTCAAAACTCTCAAGCGGGGTGAATCAAATTTAAGTGCAGCGATAGATCCTAAGAGCAACCTTTGCTTATCTTGGGCATGATAAAGTAGATGATAAATGGAGCTGAATTCGGCAAAATTTTCAAAACCCTTTTAATATGTTCTGTGCTGGGTAAGTACGACACTAGTTATTCCCCTTTGTTCTTCTGTAGCTACGAAACTGTCGAAACTGACTTTCCAATTTATGAAATATTTATTTCCATTTTAAACCTACGGAACTCTGATAACAAAAGATACCAAACTCTACACATTTCCTTTCTAAACTATTTGTTAATCATTAAAGCAAAAGTTTGGGATCTTTGTATTATCATTATTATCATTGTTATTAGTTTCTCGATATTAATCGCCTTCCGTATAATGCCAAATGATTGAATTGTGTGATGAGTACAACTAAATCCGGCAAAGTGTGCGAAACCTTTTTTAATAAGTTGTGCGCTAGGTAAGTACCACCTTAATTATATCTTGACTTTCCATTTGTGAAATTCAGCCAAACGAAACAGAGAGTTGGCGGTTATTTGGCACTGTTAATTAAAACAAAACAAAACAAAACAGACTCTAAAGATGTCTACATTAAACTCTTAATTCTTAATCAGAGTAGGATCTCTTATAAACTGGATTCCTAAAGCCTATTAGATTCCATATAGTGCAAAGTAATCAAAGATCAAATAGCACAGGCGAGACATCCATGCGGTGGTCATGTTATTTGCGTCATGGTTGTCTACACAACAGCTTTGGCAGCCATATTTAGGATGACAGGAACACAATAGCTTAGTTGCTATCGTTTTATGCCACCACTACGACAAGATGTCAAAAGGGGGATACGTCTCCTCTTTAGATAGGTGCTGAACGTTCGACGTGCTTAGACGAAAGATCGGATTAATTATCAGGGTCCACTTAAAATGGCCCGTTTAAAAATTCTGCCCGAAGGACGTTCGCGAGGGTCTACTGTATCCTTAAAAATGTTTCCCTCGTGTAACAAGTTTTGTTCAGCTGGTTGGTAAATTGCACAGATGCTGTACTTTATTTAAATTTCTCCGTCTGCTCCCTGAGGAAGGAAATAAAAATCATGGGTAGATGTTACAGGGCATATAGCAATTAAATGCATTAGTACTAGTCTAACTCGAAATCTAATAAACTTTTTCATCGTCTCAAATGTTGTTCTTGAGATAACAATCAATTTATTTGCTCATTTCCTCTTCTACATTCATCCTTCCTTTGTTGATGGATTTGCAAGGAACAGGTAGGGCAGTTTAATTCCAATTATAACATTCATGTACCTTAAAATGAACGGAAAAAAAGACAATATCTGACTGATTTCGCTAATAACCAGTCACAGACTTCGTGATCTAAAACGTGAGTTGGAAAGCAAAACAAAAAAGTCAAAGGATAACGGTGCCATTATTATGATTTCCCTGATTTCCACTTTTAAAACCTTGCCTAATTCTAATTTTTGCTTCAGTGACGTAAAGGGTTTTGTTGCTTATCGTTTGTTATTAAAATTAAACGTAATAAAATACTTTCTCGAATCCATCATCAGCATTATTACATGACTGTAAATATATGAAAATCATATATGTGCACTGCGGTTGAAGAAAAGAATATGGAAGCGATCCTCGCAGTTATGAACACTACTTGAGTAGTAGTGAATATAAGGCCTGAAAAATAAAACTAGCTCCCAGTTGGCTTGTTAGCTCAGTTGGCATAGGTTGCACTGGTATCGGAGAGGTCATGGGTTTAAATTCCACATGTAACCGTTC